CTATCAGTTTGTTCTTTCGGTCTGATAGCAAAAACTGTAGCAGTGTCATATCTGACCTCATTTTGGATTCCGGAAAGTTTTGGTTATTCTCGGATGTTGTGATGTTTTGAAGGAAGCAGAATGTTCAAATATCTAAAGCAACAGTATGGTTTTAAACCTCTAACCATAGGAATGAAATCTTACATACTTAGGGTACTCCGTTTTGAATGATTCCTCAAATTATACAGCCTTATGAGAAAAGGTGTGCTATTACTATCACTACTAAACTGTTAGACATTGCACTAAAATAACACACAGAACAACACCTTAGTAACTGCATAGCAATGCCTTGGTAACCATCCACTACATCCTTGCGTCACAGAGGATTATTCCCGGGGCAATCGTCACTGTTTTCTTCAGAAAATGTTGAAATCTAGTTGTACGGTAGTTCTGCTGTTATCTGGCACAATGGGCTAACATACACTACCGATCAAATATAATACTTTTTATTCAGCAAGGATGCATTAACTTACTCAAAAGTGATTGTGAAGACATTTACAGTGTAACAAAAGATTTCTATTTCAAATGAATGCTGCTTTTTAACTTTGTATTCATCAAAGAATCCTGAAAAGAAATTGTATTATGCTTACAACTGTTGTCTGCATTTATAATCAGAAATGTCTTGAGCAGCCAATCAGCATATTAGAATGATTTCTGAAGGATCATGTGACACTGAAGACTGGAGTAATGATGCTGAAAATTCAGCTTTGCATCAAATAAATAAATTACATTTGAAAATATGTTCAAATAAAAACAGTTACTTTAAATAGTAATAAGTTACTGTTTTTATTTATTTTATTAATTTAATTTTAATCAAATAAATCCAGCTTTGGTGAGCATAAGAGTCTTATATAAGAGTCAAAAAACCCTACCAACCCCAAACGTTTGAACTGTAGTGTAAAGAAAATGTAACTAGTAGATGACTAGTAGACTATTTATCGTCCATCAAAAAAGCAGAAGATTTCACATTAAAAAACAGACTGATTTAAGACGGTAAAGACCCCTGAAGATAACCAATGCTTTTAAGAATCCTGTGAAATTAGGTTAAATGATGGTGGTGCATGAGTGACATTGTGTTTCATTGTGAGACTGACATTTTACATGATTTTTTTGTGTCTGTTTGGTATTTTTGGTGCACAGGTTGGGACGAGGTTTGGGATCAAAAGGTGACTATGAGTGTAGAGCTGAAATCATAGAACTAAACCTGTAGACACTTGCAAGATCAACATCGTAGAGCGCACTAATAGATGGCTACTGTATGCTACCAGTACACATGAATCTAGCTGGTGTAGAAGGCCATTTAGATCAATGGCAGTGCATAACAGCATGGCATGGGGTTGCTAGAGATGGTTATAGAATTAGGATGGAGATAATCTGGTCTAGTGGGATTAGATCAAATTCATGATGTTGCTGATTTTTTATTGATTGTTAAGTGAATAATTTAGGCCCTCCAGATTTCCAGAATTATGATCAAGTATGGTTCACAAGTCAATATAGTAGTTCTGTAACTTTCATTTTCATTAAGTTTTTATTTAATTTAAATTATATCTGTCTACAATGACTGCAAGTTTTGCCGTTTTTCCAGTATAAGTCTTTTAGTTTAACTTGCTCCAGTCTGCAGTAATTGCAAATGAATCCTGATTTTTTTTTCAGGTCACAATTTGTTTCCTTGTCAGGTATGCTGATTGATTTTATTGTGCTCAACAAACATAGTTTTGAGTAACAGACATCAAACGATTTAATTTTTTGTTGTACAAAAACATGGCAGATTAAGCGGTTTTAAAAATATATCTAATCAATTGGAAGCATCTGTACTGAAACAATTAGAATTTCATTGCTTTCAAATGCATTGATTGTTTTTTGTGTTTTTTGTTTTGCTTTAAATTTGCAGGATAATTTTGCAATTTTTGGTATCATTGATATTAAATTCTAATCTTAACAAAAGCAAACTTCTTTAAACTGTGTTTTTATGGGTCTTAAAAGGCCTTAGTTCACCATTTCACAAATTAAGGCCTTACAGTTTTTTACGATTGCTTAAGCACAATTTTGAAAACAGGGCCCGGTTTGTCAAAACACTACACACAATTAACACAACCCTACACCAAAGTAGCACAACACGTCAGATCATTTGCAAAATGGAGCACTTTTGTCAAAACTATACACAACTTTATAAAAACAATATTTTGTTACCATACGAAACACACATTTCATATGACTTTAATCTTTTTGAACCAGTTACACACTGCTGTTGCTAACCTAAAACACTTTTAGCAAGTCTAATTCTCAGTGATTAGAGTACTGTAAATGAAGTACACAGAGAAAGTGCAACTATACAATAGTTCACCAAACACTACACAAGACCAATGCTGCAGACTGACGAAAATATCATTGATTTCTCTCCATATACCCAAATCAGTCAACATGGAGAATCACAACAAAACATGTCCCAGTTGTCATGCTACTACAGTAGTGTGCATAACACTGTTAGCGCAGCAAACAACAGACAAACGTAAAATACTGTATCCAGTACAGGTTACAATTACAGTAAACAACAACAACAACAACCATAAAAAATAATCTGAAAAAACTGACAATATTGTACAGAAAATACTACAGTAAACATACTATACATTATCTCTTCGCCTAGCTGGATCTGGCAGAGAATTTCATCAACATCACAAGCAATATCCTCATTAGCAAGACAACGCGGGAAGAACCGTCTTGAATGTCGAATCCATCCTTGCACAGCTGCGGCGTCGACTTGGTCACAGGCGTCCTCCATGGCCTGAATGAGGGGTACCTGAGCCTGGGGCTGGAGATCGTAAACCTTCCACCGCCATGCAGAGAAAAACTCTTCGATAGGGTTTAGAAACGGAGAGTATGGTGGAAGGTATAGTACTGTCAACTGTGGATGGTGTTGAAACCAGTTCTGGACCAAAGCAGAGCGGTGCAATGACACATTGTCCCAGATGACAGTATATTGTATCTGGTGCATTTCATTACCTGCTGTGACGATGTGGTGCAATCGGTCCAAAAATGCGAGAATGTGAGGTGTGTTGTAAGGGCCCATTTTGGCATGACGGAGGAGAACCCCATGCTGTGAAATGGCAGCGCAAAGGGTGATGTTACCCCCACGTTGCCCTGGGACATTGATTATAGCCCTGTGGCCAATGATATTTCTGCCTCTCCTTCTTGCTTTTGTGAGGTTGAACCCTGCCTCATCAATATATATGAATTCATGCAGGATTTCCTCAGCATCCATCTGCAAAACTCTCTGAAATGTATACAAGTGTGTTTAGTGTTTTGCAAATAGTGTGAAGCTGACAATGTGCTTACAGTTGTGCAAATCTAGCCTTGTGTTTTGCTCCTTGAGTGTAAGGTTTTGCTAATTGTTGGAAAAGTTTAATTTTAGTGTGTAAGCAATCGTAAAAAACTGTAAAAGGTCTTAAATTGGAGCAGAAAGTCTTAAATTTATAATATCATGGCATTAAATGTTGCATGCAGTGCAAAAAATGAACATCTTCCTCAATGCTTTTGTCTTGTTTTTAAATACAAATATCTAAACATCATTAAATCAAGAAACATTTCCTAGAGATGCAAACTGAACATATGAAGTTCATATACATTTTTTGTCAAATTAATTAAAAAGTAATGGAGATTGTATTTTCAAGCTTTAAAGTGTTGCTAATACAACCTTTTTGAGAACATATTGATGTATTGTGTTCAATGCAATTTATTACTAAATTTTCTTTACTTGGTCCTAAAAAGTCTTAAATATACCTTCATAAAACCTGCAGAAACCCTATATAGAAATAATTAGTTTAATGCATTTATTTGACAAAATAGATATTTTTTAAAACATGCACAAATAAAAGCTTTAAGCATAAACTGTAAAGATGTTTTTATTTCTCACATGACTTGCAATGGTCAGATGATTCAGATGGTGGGGATTTGATGTAATTCCTCTTGAAATATTTCAGAGGATTTGTCTGTTGTAGCTTTCATTTTCTGCCAGGGTGACTTTTTGTGAATATTGTTTAAGTACAACATTAAGTTGAAATATCAGCTGCATTAAATGATGGTTAAGCAATAAAGGAAGGGTATAAATTAAATATAGTAACTTACATATTCATTGTGTGGATTTCTTAAAGGGGTCATATGATGCGATTTCAATTTTTCCTTTCTCTTTGGAGTGTTACAAGCTCTTGGTGCATAAAGAAGATCTGTAAAGTTGCAAAGACTAAAGTCTCAAATCCAAAGAGATATTCTTCATAAAAGTTAAGAGTCAACCACGCCTACCTAAAACGGCTCGTTCTAACACACCCCACATGTCTACGTCACGATGTGAGAAGATTTGCATAACGCCGCCCAAACGTTCACGCAAAGAAAGAAGGCGTAACTTATTCTCGCTGTATTATTGTTGCTGCCGCCGCCGCCATGTTGTGGAGATGCTGTGTGTTTCGTTATGAAAGGGCATAGAGGAGAAAAAATAATGTACAATATGTGGAAAATAATGTGTTATTTGAACCTTAAACCGCAAAAACACATTTCATTACACCAAATACACAAAATAATGTTCTTTTTAGCAGCATCATATGACCCCCTTTAAAGAAAACAGTGACTGAGATTAAACAAATCTGCTAGATCAATAATTTCAGTCTTTTATACAGTTTAATGTCCTGAATAACGGGTTATTTGTTCATCTAATGATTACATTATACATGTTAGAAGTGTTAACATCAGTAAATCCTTGGGAAACACGGACAGGCCTGTTTGTTAAACAGCTGTGAGTGGATTTTGAGAATATTTATGAAATACTATCTTTGTCTCTCAGATTCCGTAAATACATGACGTTTCTGCTCAGTCATGCCTCTTATTCCCTCTCGAGATTCAAAGAAGCTTTATTCACATGCTAAACAAATCTCTCTCTCTCTCTCTCTCTCTCTCTCTCTCTCTCTCAGATTGACCCTAAGGTGGCCTTCCCACGCAGAGCTCAGCCGAAGGTGAGTGCTAAGTCTCCGTTCAGGTTAACATCACACACATCACTTCTCATTAAGGACACACAGGTTCTGTTCTGAAACCTAGTGAGTGTTTTAAAGCACCATAGGTGTTTTCTCGATGTGACAGCTCTGACAAACTGTAGGCAGCATAATTCTGAAGATCCTTCTTTTTCACCATATCGCATAGAAGTGGCATGAAAAATGGGCGTCCTATAAATTTTTCTTAAACTAAACCAAACTTTTAGAATGAAAAGTAAAAGGACTTTAAATAGACACTAAACAACTGGTCACAAACATATCCTCTAAAATGTCTATAGGAATTCTTTTTGACCATTATTGCATACAGTACTATGGTCGGTAAGATTATTTTAAATGATTTTCAAAAAAGTTTCTTATGCTCAGGCTGCATTTATTTGATCAAAAATACATTAAAAGCAGTAATATTGTGAAATATAATTACAATTTAAAAGCACTGATTTCTATTTGAATATATTTTAAAATGTAATTTATTTCTGTGATTAAAGCTGAATTTTCAGCATCATTTCTCCAGTCTTCAGTGTCACATGATCCTTCAGAAATCATTCTGATATGCTGATTTGCTGCTCAAGAAACAATTAATATCATTATCAATGTTGAAAACAGTTAACTTAATTCTTAAAACGTAATATTTTCAGAAACCTTTTTCCCCCCTTGTTCTCTGATGAATAGAACGTTCAATAGAACTGCATTTATTTGAAATAGGGATTCTCATTTTAGTTAATTTTCCTGACAACTGCTGCTCATTATCCAAACATTAACCGTTAACTGATAAAATTAGAATAATAAATTATTATTAAATAAAAATAGAATGGACAAGAATCTGTGATGCATTTAAAATACAAACAAACATATATATATATTTTTTTTCACGGGTTTATTTTAACGTGCAAACAGCAGCATACAGAGCAACAACAAAACCTGGATTCACACATCTTTAAACCGGCTTAGTCTTGTTTTATGCAAATCTTCCCACATAGTGATGTAGATATGTGGGGGCGTGTTAGAATGAGAACTGTAGTCTTGTTTTTTTCCCCCGTTAGACATAAAAATAAATAGCAGGCCTACCTCAGTGTACAACGTGTCTACTTTTTATTTTAAAAAAGTAACATGTCGACATGCTGTGTGGATAGACTGGAGCGCTGTCTGTTAACTGTTAGACCCGCGACAAAAACGCCATCACAAAAATCCCGTCATTCTGTGGTTCGGGACTTTTCATCCACTGGTCATATGTTTCTATTCACAGCGTGTTTTTGCAGCACTGAGCAATATAACCAACCACAGACATATCTGTTGATTTCATTAACGCAGTGGCCAATCAGAGGTGGTTAAGTTACAATCCACTCACCTCTCAAAACGCCGGTAATCAAAGAAGCTTTACACTACACAAATAATCTCTGTTCAGTGCTGCTGAGTTCTACACGTTCGCAAATTCTCTCATTGCAACAAAGAAAGTGTAGACATGATGGAAATAAGAGATTATTTGTGTAGTGTAAAGCTTCTTTGATTACTTTAAGTTAACTTTGTGAGATCGCGATGAACTACAGTAAGATGAGTGACGGCTTTCCACAGTGATTATAAGGGGAGCGCACTGCGCACATTCTTGGCTATAATCCATTCAGAATTTGAATACATTCACTCACGGATTCATTCTCCGATTCACTCTCTGATAACCATTTATCCAATATTGCCACTTGTCATTGTGTTGCGTATACTGCATCAGTTAACTAAGTGAAGGTGAAGCAGGTGCTTGCTCAGCGATATATGTCTGTAGTCATGTTGCACGTGTCGACATGCGCCCATGAGTTAACAAATATGCATAGCATTTTTTTTTCTTTCACCATTCACTATGCAGCAACTTTAAAAAAAACCTTTAAAACCGTTTAACTGATAGGATTAATCGGTCAAAATTCGTACTTTCGGTTTATGTTTAAACGGTCAATATGAGCATCCCTAATTTGAAATAGAATAATTTTTAACATTATGTCTTAACTGTCACTTTTGGTCAATTTAATGTGTCCTTGCTAAATAAAGGTATTATTTTCTTTAAAAAAACTGTAGTATAGGATAAGATTCTAAGATTTCTAAGGTAGAAATATGGTCAAATTAAAAGTGAACTATTTTCCTGTCTACACCCTACTTTTCTATAAAACTAAAGGCAAGAAGCACCAAAGAATTAATTTTAATGCATATTAGTGCCTTGCATTGTTAGCTTGAAATCAAGTTTCCCCTGTGAGTCACATAAAATAAATAGTAAATAAATAGTTAAACTGACAGAGTTTCTCCCTATGTGGAGCGTCCCAAATCAGTCCTTTAGATTCCATTTTTGAGGTTCCATTTTTAGTTAATATGCTTCCTTAGAAGGCAGTTGCGTAGACAGTAAAGTAGCTCACTAGGTTTTGGAACAGAGTCATACATAGCTCCTATTTATGTAATGAACACATACTCTTTTTTTTCTCAACAAAATAGCTGACTCTTGTTTACTTTACCTATTTGAGCTGTTATGAAAATATGAAGAGTTCGGTTCCAAAACGCTATAAATCCATTTTGATTAATTTGAGTAAAAATGTGTTTTCTTTACCAAGAAACTTTCACATAGCATCTTTAGGCTATAATAACATAAAAAAATTCAAATCCATATTTTGATTTTCAAAGATTTATTATAAAATTGTATTATTTTTTCCCCAAAATGCAATAAACCCATGACACGTTTTTTTTTTTCTCCAAAATGCAATAAATCCATTGAATCAATATAAAAGTTATTTTTCATATTGAAACTGTTGAAAATACACAACATAGTAAGTTGATCCACATATGACAGCCTCTGAACTTGGTCAATACTAATCTTAT